TACCTGAGACAGAGGAAGAACATTCTTAATTTCTCCCAGAAGTCCTCTATTGCCACGAGGGTTCAGGAATCTATTTACAAGATCATTACTAGATGATACAGGGTCCCCTCTCTGCTCCACTATACCATATCTCTCTGCAGATTCCAGACACATGCTTGCGCTGTGGCACAGAAGGCGGGACCATGCTCCACATTTTCTGGTCGTGTGGATCTGCAAGATAACCAGGTAGCTTGCCTTTCACAACTGACAGAGAGACCTATTAAAAAATACAAATCCTCCCTAAGGATTTAGCTCCTAAATGTGGCCAAGGTCTGTATTCCGATCTACTGAAGGAGAGCTGACCCTTCCTCAAAGGCTCTGTGGTTTGCTAGAATTAATGTTTTCCAGAATATGGAGGAACTTACAGCCACCCTGGGTAACATGGAAGAGTCTTGCACTGAAACATGGAGACCCTGGAACTATTTTGTCTATACTGTCTCTTACCTAAATGAGCTGCCCACTTCCCAGTGCCTTATCCTATGCCAGGAGAGGGAAAGTTTTGTATTCCCCTTCCCCCCTCTCTTCTCCCCCATCTCTCCCCCACCACTCTCCCCCCTTCCCTCCCATCATCCTCTCCCCCCCTTCCCTTTCTTTATTTTTTCACTTACCTCGCTACCCTTTCCCTTCCCCTTTTGGGAACTCCCAGCCATTTGCAGCATTGCTCTATTTTGTCGTTGTCTGTTCATACGGTTGTTGACTTTACTAACTTCAGCAACGCATGCTATCTTTGATTTATTATTCATTGCTAATTGTTCTGATGATCTGATACAGGATCAATTGTCATGTCCTTACAACTATACTATACTTCCTCCTCTCCCTACTCCTCTTACTGTTGTGGTACCCCAAGGTTCTGTCCTTGGACCTCTCCTTTTCTCAATCTACTCTTCTTTCCTGTGTCAGCTGATCGCTTCCCATGGTTTCCAATAACATTTCTATGCTAATGACACACAAATATATCTCTCTACTCCTCAGCTCACCCCATCAGTTTCCTCTATCACTGATTTACTAACAGACATATCAGACTGGATGTCACTCCACTTCCTAAAACGTATAAATAAATAATTAAATATGGTATCCAAAGCTATAATTTTTACACCCGTAAGCCTATAAAAGGTCTTCCTTTCACCCTTGAAAGTAAAATAAGTATATAAACCCTTTTTCTGTGCTCAACATATATATCCCCCAAAAATTATTAGTGAAAGTCTATAAAGTCCCAATCTTTATAAAAATTACCACCAAGTGTCCATAAATAATCAAGTCACTCAAAAATTCTGGTCCAAAAAGAAAAAAGTCATAAATCTTTCTGCTGAGCCCTCCGAATGTCTCCAAAGAAGACATAAACCTCGAAACAAGAAAAACTCAATAGTGCATTAACCATGATAAAAATAAATCATAAACGATGTAACATATGTGCACTAATCACTCCAAATAGAAACGTGACCACATACGTGATTGTGAACACTTGTGAAACAGTGATAGTGTAACACACTGTGAATCAATGATTCTATACAAATATACTTTCCCGTGGCATTCAGTGTGCACTTCTAAAGTGTCTTCATTGAATACCCTTACAAAATAAGTAATAAAACACACTTTACTCCAGCAGAGGGTATATGTTGTATTGTCCACATGGATGCCTTCAGAACCTCAGTGTATATACTCCATAGCATCAATGCTCTCTGTGTTGTTCTGTCTCTTCAGTGGGATCTGCAGTCTGATCTTTGGCCAAGGTGATTGAGAGAGGGAAGTTTAAGGTACACAGCTAATCATGTCCAATCAACTGAATTTCCACTTATTTGTTTATGTGAACAATACATTTTATCAAGGGTAATGCACTATTGAGTTTTTCTTGTTTCAAGGTTTACGTCTTCTTTGGAGCCATTCAGAGGGCTCTGCAGAAAGATTTATGAATTTTTCTTTTTGGACCAGAATTTTTGAGTGACTTGATTATTTATGGACACTTGGTGGTAATTTTTTTAAAGATTGGGACTTTATGGACTTTCACTAATAATTTTTGGAGGATATATATGTTGAGCACAGAAAAAGGGTTTATATACTTCCTAAAACTTAATCTATCAAAAACTGAGCTCATAATATTTCCTCCCCCACGTGCCTCTTCCCCTGATTTCTCGGGCAATAGCCCAACTATCAACCCATCCCCGCATACCCTGGATTCTGAACTATCCTTTCAGGCCCACATCCAATCCCTGTCCCAACCATGCCACCTCAACCTCCGCAACATCTCCAAAATACGACCCTTTTTAACCAATGATTCACTCCCTGGTTATCTCTCGCCTCGACTGCTGCAACTCCCTCCTCATCGGTTTACCTTTATATAGGCTGTCCTCCCTCCAGTCCATCATGAATGCTTCTGCTAGGCTCATCCACCTTACCAATAGTGTCTGCTACCCCTCTCTGCCAATCCCTCCACTTAACCTGAAAAAATAAAATTCAAAATATTAACAACAACTTACAAAGCTATCGACAGCTCTGCCCCCAGCTACATCACCAGTCTGGTCTCAAATTACCAACCAAAACGCTCTCTTTGATCCTCCCAAGACCTTCTACGCTCTAGTTCCCGTGTCACCTCATTCCATGCTCACCTCCAGAACTTCTCCTGAGCTTCTCTAATTCTATGGAACTCCGTACCCCAATTTGTGTGGATATCTCTTAATCTATCCACCTTTAGATGATCCCTAAAAACCCTTCTCTTTAAAGAAGCCTATCCTGCTTCTAACTAGTAAACTGCTTTTTGTTTCCTCCATCAGCTCATCCCCCACAGCTTACCTTTTGTATCATTCAACCCTTCCTCTTAGATTGTAAGCTCTAATGAGCAGGGCCCTCTGTTTCCTCTTGTACCAAATTGTATTGTAACTGTAATGTCTACCTTCATTTTGTAAAGTGCTATGCAAACTGTTGGAGCTATATATTATTATTATACAGGATTTATATAGCGCCAACAGTTTGCTCAGCGCTTTACAATATAAAGGGAGACAATACAGCAACAATACAGTTCAATACAAGAGGGATTTGAGGGCCCTGCTCCTTGGAGCTTACAATCTAGGAGGGAGGGGCTAGTGGTACAAAAGGTAGTAACTGTGGGGGATGGACTGGTTGGAAGAGTAGAAGATTCCAGTATTAGCTGAGGGCAGGATAGGCTTCCCTGAAGAGATAGGTTTTCAGAGATCGCCTAAAAGTGAGCAGAGTAGGCGATAGGTAGAGAGTTCCAGAGGATGAGAGAAGCTCTGGAGAAAACCTGGAGATGAGCATGGGAGAAGGAGACAAGGGAGCTAGAGAGTAGGAGTTCTTGCGAGGAGCAGAGAGTACGGTTTGGGTGATATTTAGAGACAAGATCGGTGATATAATTTGGGGCAGAGTTATAAATGGCTTTATACGTTATTGTTAGTGTTTTGAATTTTATCCGTTGGGCAACGGGAAGCCAGTGGAGGGATTGGCAGAGAGGGGTGGCAGATATAGAACGGTCAGTAAGGTGGATGATTCTGGCAGCAGCATTCCTGATATACTGAAAAGGGGATAGCCTGCGATGAGGAAGGCCAATGAGGAGGATATAAATCCTGTATTATAATAATAATGTCCTATGGACACCTAATAATCTTGCTGGTGTTGTCTTGTCACTTATCTGACTAGTCTGATCTGTTATAGTCATGATGTTTTGACTTATTCATATGTAATTGTAATTTTAACACCTGAGTACCCATCTGTGAATGGCCATTGCTTGTATTTCATTTGACCTATGAAAATAAAGGAATAACTAAAAAAAAGGTTATGACACACTGTATTTGGGAGATTCACATTCAGCACTGCCCCTATGCTCTCCAAAGCAGGTATGAAGATAACTGATGGTCCTGCCTACATACTGAAGCCCACAGGAACATATTAAACAAACAAAAGAGAATGAACAAGTGAAGAACTTGTTAATAGAATAAGACTGACTAGGGAGATCACTAAAAGAATGTCGGCCATGTTGGGGTGTAAGCACAGGCTAAACAGTTACATTTCCAACATTGAAAGATACCTTTGATAGCCAAGAATGAAGGAATAGTATTCCCATGTTGTGAATGTGTTGTCAGCTTACTGGGAGCAATCATATTCTTAATACATCTGGATGTTTTAAATAACATTCTGAGTCAGTCCTGTAATACAGAAGAAAGTTTGGGGTCACATTTTAAGATTCCCCAATGTTTATTTGTTTGTTTGTGACTTGCATGATGACCAGTAGCTAGCGTTAAACAGTTTTATAAAAAGTAGTTCCTTCCTGCTCACTTGTTCCATTTCTGGCTTCCCTTGAAGGTTGATCCTGGGCCTCCTCATATCTGGTTAGGTTATTTCTGATTGCACTTTAACCTTTTTGTAGAAAGTTTTCTTTTAGAGCCATAATCCTTTTTTTAAAGTGCAATTTCTGTGGAGCCTGCAAACCAACTGGTCGGAATATTATGCTTTCAAGATGAGTTCCCTCCAGTAGGCTTAAAATGAATTCATGAGCCTAGCAAGTCAGTATCATTCTGGTATAAATCCATGTCCAGGAAGGTTAAAGAATATGTAAACCAAACATTTCATATTCCTTATATGTGTCTGCTGTACCATGTACTTGTATGAAAAAGTATCCTGATTGCTTTGTATTGTATCCTTTGTGTGAAATCCCTGGTGTTCTTATCAGTTCCTTTGCTGTCTTATGAAAAACTGACCATGCCAAATGAGAGAACACACCATGGTCAATTCTCTAGATGAGCTAGGAACTCACTGTGTTCTCCTGAAATGATCAGATTTGTCCTGAACCCCCCCCCCCCCCCCGCCCCATGCAGCCTTTCACGGGGAAGATCAATGTGCTGCTGTTCCTCCTCCCCTAGCTCTTATGCAGCTTAATACAGAGGGAATGTGATCATTTATAAAAAAAAAAGGGAAACTTTTTTCTTTACACATGTTTTGCCTTTCATTTCTATTTTAACCTCCCTGGCGGTATTCCCGAGTGTAGCTCGGGGTAACATTTCAGTACCAAAAGCGGTAACCCCGAGCTACACTCGGGCTTACCATGCGGCGCTGCTCCGGCATGTGTTCTTCACTTACCTTACCCTGCGCTCCCACGATGTGTCCCCTGCAGTGTCCCCGACCATCTCCTCCAGCCGATGCCGGCATCCGGCTTCTGTCTCCTGTCCCTGTGACGTCGGGACGTACGGGCGCCGCCGCCCCCGGCGGCGGGAAATTTAAAAATTTTAAAAAATGTCATTTTTTTTTTTTTTCATTTTACACAGTAAAACATTGCTGTTTCAACCTATTTCACATACATATTGTCCCTAGTGCTTTGTCCTGCGCCCTGCCTGCATTTTGTCTGTTCTTTCTGCCTGGAAACTGAGAAATGTCCATGGCGTCCAAAAAGTGTCCCTTTAGGTCAAAAGCGGTTTAGATCAGCTAGAGAACAGCGATAGTAAATCAGAACCACTTGCAGAATTGAGTGATAATGATTCGTGGGGGAAATTCGTCATCAGAAACTGAAAACGATTTTGCGACTGAGCTCAGCAATGTGCGAACTTGGCGCTATATTTCACATTTCAGTGTTTTTGGTTTGATTATATTATTGAATTAAATTTTTTATTATTTTTATATTATTTTTATGATTATTTATTAAATTATAATTTATGATTTTGTGTTTCAAATTTTATCATACCCGGGATGTTTACTAGACTCTTGTTCGGACAGATTTCAGTGAGTTTTTCCTAAAAATTACAGCCTACAATAAAAAAAATACATATTTCCATGCAAAAAAATGGTACCGCTTTCAGCACCAAAAATCTGAAATAATCATACCGCCAGGGAGGTTAAACCTAATGTGTTTTTTTTTTTTTTACAAGGTGAGGGTATACAAATACTTTAAAACCTTGTTTACAACTAATGTAAAATTAATCCCAAAGGGATTGTAATTGTAAAACTTGATAAACTACTGAATAGAGACGCCAGGGCCTCGCTATATAATATCTATGTCATCTATGTAGAACAACAATGTTTCTATGTAGAAGACAATGTGCTCAAAAAAATTGTTTGACCATATGAATTGAAAAATACACCAATATCCTATAAAGAGGTTGCATACCTACTGTAGGTATAAAGGTAGCCCCCATCCCTGTGCCTAAATTTTAAAGGTAGAAGTGACCCAAAAAAAAAGTAAAACAGTGATCCCTGACTGTTTACATCCAGTGCCCCTTTCCAGGGTGAGGGAATAGCCATCAAAGAGTGTTACTCAGACCTGCCTCAACAAGGGAGCAACAAACTGTGCACATATTTACTCACCGTCTGATCAGTCCCCAATCTCCTTGTGAGTGTATTTTTCTCTTTAATAAATTTTCAACTTTGTTCTTAATACGACACTATAGAGTAGGTGGTTCTTGCTTTGTGTTTTTCCTTACCCTTTTTTTCTTTGAAAATAAATTTTAATATCTGAGCACAGTGTTGCAACTTTGACAGATGAACTATACCTTTGTTTTTTCAAAATAGATTGGGATTTTATTTGATAATAAATTGTGATGGAAATCTTTAGATTTTTTTTTAATCAAAGGAAAACAGGCACGAAATAGTAAAAAAAAAACCAACAGTGTTAAATGTAGCTGTATATTTATTACCACTAAAGAACAACCCAAATAAATTATTCCACTTCTCTCAATTTCAGCAATACCATATATGTGTATGTTGTTTGTACTTGTAGTAGGGCCCAGAAACAATAGTGCACATTTTCCTTTTTTTATCCTACCTAAAACCCAATAAACACACCAACAAACATTGATACTAAATTAAAACTTTTTTTTAATCCTACCTAAAATACACGGACCCTGAACTTTAACCCTGACTTTTGAACCTGACCATGACCTTTGACCCTAACCTTTGACGCTGACCTAAATCAAACCCTAATTTAGCTATTTTATCTTGATGATGGTGAGGATGATGATGACGATGACTATTAATTTTTTTTTACACACACTTTGTTATACTTTTCTCCTCTACTATCTACCTACCTATCTTTTTCTCCATTCAAGAGAAGAAAACACACGCAGAGCTAGATATAGAGTGAGTGATCACAGCCGGGCACTATCACAGCAATCAGGTAAACAGGAACCAGACCTCCCCATTCTCAAATATTAGTATGAGACCCAGGCTCTGGGTGAGACTACGCTGTGCAGCATGCTCCCAGAACAAACACAGTAAGCATATATATGGCCTCATGGATAAAGGCCCACTTCCGTGAGGCTATATATATGTGTACAGTCAGTGGGAAGGCGATACTATAACCAATTAAACAATTTTTGTAGTTAGTCCTTAAAGGTATAACTTTGACAATATTTTTGTCTTTTTTCATCTATATATTCATTCTTCCATACCATAGTACAATACTTCTTGTGTCTCATAAGCACATTGTGGATCTATTAATAAACATTTTGACAAAAGATTCATACAATTTTCATCCATGATTTATACATATTCCAATTAAATTAAATTAGAAAAATTGTGTGAATCTTGGGTGAAAGTTGTGTGAATATTGTAAAAAAACATTTATAGAGCCCAATGTCTTTTTTCTCTCCAAGATTTTTCAGTTCCATCTGTATATTAAGGCAATTCCATATTATAGCAAAGATAATGTAGTATATTTAAAAGTTATACTGTATATATAATTATATATTTACAGTATAAATATAAAATGTATTTTCAAACTAATTGGCAAGAAACTTTCAAAATTCTACAATAAATTGTTTGTTTAATTAAAAATGTTTCAAATATAAAATATATACCCCTCTTATGCACTTGTAATCATGGCTGACAGAATGACATGATGATATTTCAAGCAGAACAAATGTTTCTCATATTTTAGCTTTATGATTTACTTATATATTATTCATTATACAATATATAAAAAAAACTTGTACTTTCCCCCTTCAAACTGCATAAAACTATTTTGAAGGGTTTTAATAAAGGTTTCTGCAACTTAAAATGATAACATTTTAAACAGATTTTACTATTATTGTAAATATTCACTTTTTATGCCTTGCCCAGAGGAAAACTATAAATCTTGTCTCCACTGAATGAACACCATTTATCATATTCATTTTCTTGTCAATACAATTATGAAAAGCCTTTGGCTCTTTCCCAAGGAACCTGATTTGCTGCAGAAACCCAATTAGAATAAGCACGCTTGCTACTAAACACTGCTGCAGACTCTCACTTGGAAATCTAACACGGCTTTCAGCATAAATGACACCTCACCTCTGAACTCTGAGCCTAATAACATTTTTCTCTCTCAAAAGAAATTCAGAGATCAGTAGCAACTGTCTGTGTCCCTAATGTATGTATATCCCACCAACTGGACATTGCAGATATTTTAGAATTCAACTGTAATATTTCAGCTTGAATGGAAAGCCAACAACCAATTTCAAATATTTAACCATCAAGAAATGCTTAATGGTAGCTAGACATTAAATTATGTAACCTATGGATTTTGTTCAGTTATTTTTAAAATGCTCATGCATTTACGAACAAAAATCTATATATGATACAATAAACATGTTTTATTTGGATAGAATAATGTTTAAACACTCAAAAGTTTATATAAGAAATGTTTTGTATTTGATTTGGGGTTTTTTGGTTGTTTTTTTTTTTCACAAAAATCTGTATTGTGACACATTTAAAAAAAATATATATTTAGACTACTTTGTAATTAGGTTTACAAGAAATATTACACTGTCAACAGTTAAGATTAGATTATGGTTATATGACACTATAATTCCACACTAGAAGGCAGTGCTGATTCAGCTGCTTGTAAAGCTGTCTTTTTTTTTTTTTAATGAAATAATCTGGGACTAGAGCTTTAAAAAATAAAAGGTTTATGTGGGCATGTTACCTAAAGAAAACAGCACATAATACTTGTGTTTGAACAGATACTGCACAAATGAAATATGTATTACATCCATTGTATGTTATACAATGGATGCCTTTTTTCTATATTAATGTACCTTTTTTCTACATTAAATGGTTCTCATAGCTTTGTATATTCACGCGTATTAATTAGCATTTAAACACACAAGTGTCTACTTGTTAAAACTGTGCTAAAAAAAGAGGAGCTATTGCTTGCCAATTCAATGTTTTCTTAAATGGGAAGAAAGATATGATCTCACTTGTTGCTGGGCTCCATTTTTCCTGTGATCAGTTCTTCATGAATTAGTCCTGCAGTGCTTCTGTGACTGTTGCTTTGCCAGAATTTTTTCCACATACGCAACAGTCTGATAGTTTCCTCTCAGTTGCCACATTCAGTTTAGTGAACTATCTATTGTCAGAGAATTTGATACACAGGGAAATAAAGACAGAATTGGGCATTTGATATCTGACAGTAAGTGGAACGATAAACTACAGATCCTCTCACTCGGTAGTAAATCCTAGACTTTAGGATTAATGTTAGATTTCTTATGAAATCTCACTGTGAAGGAGGTTTAATGTTTACTTCTCAACAGGGTTTATTATAAGACAATGTTCATAATATGAGATTTATCAATTTACCCTTGCATTTGTAATATGTACAGTATGTATATTGCCACACAAACTGAGTGCAGACTGTACAATGAAGACATATGGTACCCAAGCTGCTCTTCCATATTATAGGGGGTAGGGTTTTAAAATGGGCAGATATACACTGGCCGCTTCATTAGGTACACCTTGCTTGTACCGGGTCGGACCCCATTTTGCCTTCAGAACTGGCTTAATCCTTTGTGGCATAGATTCAACAAGGTGTTGGAAACATTCCTCAAAGATTTTGGTCCATATTGACAAGTGTTGGCTGCACATCTATGAAATGTTGATAAAAGGCAGGATGGATCCTTTTCATGCTGTTTATATCAAATTCTGACCCTACCATCTGAATGTCGTAGCTGATATTGAGACTCATCAGACCAGGCAACGTTTTTCCAATCTTCTATTGTCCACTTTTGGTGAGCCTGTGCAATTGTAGCCTCCATTTCCTGCTCTTAGATGATAGGAGTGGCACCCAGTGCAGTCCTCTGCTGCTGTAGCCAATCTGCTTCAAGGTTGGATGTGTTGTGCATTCAGAGATGGTATACTTCAAACCTTGGTTATAACAAGAGGTTATTTAAGTTACTGTTGCCTTTCTATCATCTTGAACCAATCTGCCCATTCTCCTCTTACCTCTGACATCAACAAAGCATTTTCATCCACACGACTGCCGCTCACTGAATTTTTTATCTTTTTCAGATCATTCTCTGTAAACCCTAGAGATGGTTGTGTGTGAAAATCCTAGTAGATGAGCAGTTTTTGAAATACTCAGACCAGCCTGTCTGTCACCAACAATCATGTCACGTTCAAAGTCACTTAAATCCCCTTTCTTCCCCATTCTGATACTCAGTTTGAAATCCAGCAAGGCATTTTCACCACATATAGATGCCTAAATGCATTGCGTTGCTGCCATGTGATTCGCTGATTAGCAGTTTGTGTTACAAAGCAATTGAACAGGTGTACCTAATAAAGTGGCCTGTGAGTGTATAAGCAGATACACAGAATAGTATTTAATATATACTCCATTCTGTTCCCTCCATATTGAACAGATAACATTAGCAGTAAGAGATGTCTTTAAATAATGTATGCAATGTTGGCTGAATCAGTCAAAAATGCTTACTCAACTATAGTGTCCTCCTAATGTATGGGTACGATTAAACCAGAAGCACTGTTAACATTGTTTGAAATGTCTGAGAATGTTTCCAAACACAGCTTGTTTATATGCAAAATACTTTGCAGTTTGTAAACCAGCCCACTGTCAAGGAATGTGTGGGGATTTGCTTAGCTCCTCTGTGGCACTTTGATGCTCTTTTTGCATGAAAGTCCAGCATATGTTCACTTGCAAGGGCAGGTGTCCCCAGCCACATTATTCTAGGTCTTGGAGGATGCCTATGTGGTTGATCAATTAGGGATGAATTATGCTGTGCTTTGTTTAGCTTCTAGATTTTCCAGAACAAGATATTGAACAAGAAATGCTTTTAAACACAAATAAAAAAATTAAAGTGGTGAACATACTGTATCTATACTAAATAATTCCTTCTCTCACTTTCAATAATAAATAATTGTAGAAATCTCCAAAATAAAATGAATATTAACCACTTGCCCTCCAGAGGATTTACCCCCATTCCTGACCAGACTATTTTTTGCGGTATGGCAAAAAGTTACTTTAACTGACAATGGCGCAGTCATGCAACCCTGCACCCAAATTAAATTTACTTCTTTTTTTTCCAACAAATAGAGCTTTCTTTCAGTGGTATTTGATCGTCTCTGTGTTTTTTTAATTTTTATGCTATAACCAAAAAAAGACTGACACTTTTTAGAAAAAAAAATTATTTTTGACTTTTTGATATTAACCTCCCTGGCAGTTTTCCCGAGTGTAGCTCGGGGTAAAGTTTCAGTGCCAAAAGCGGTAACTCCGAGCTACACTCGGGCTTACCATGTCGCGTTGCTCAGGGATTCCCTGCAGTGCTTACCTTGTCCTTCGATCCCGCAATGTGCCCCCTGCAGCATCCCCGGTCATCTCCTCCGGCCCATGCCGGCATCCGGCTTCCGTGTTCCGGTCCCTGCTAGCGTCAAGACGTACAGGGGCCGGAAACGGCGGCAAATTTAAAAATTTAAAAAAATGTAATTTTCTAATAAACTAAAATAACATAGTAAAACATTACTGTTTCAAACCATAGTGCTTTGTCCTGTGCCCTGCCTGCATTTTGACTGTTCTTTCTGCCTGGAAACTTAGAAAAGTCCATGGCATCCAAAAAGCGTCCCTTTAGGTCAAAAGCGGTTTTTTAGACCAGCTAGAGAACAGCGATAGTAAATTAGAACCACTTGCAGAATTAAGTGATAATGATTTGTGGGGAAATTCGTCATCAGACACTGAAAACGATTTTGCGACTTTGCTCAGTGATGTGCGAACTTGGCGCTATATTTCAAATTTCAGTGTTTTTGGTTTGATTATATTATTGAATTAAATTTTATTATTATTATATTATTATTTTTTATGATTATTTATTAAATTATAATTTATGATTTTGTGTTTCAAGTTTTATCCTACCTGGAATGTTTACTAGACACTTGTTCGGACAGATTTCAGTGAGTTATTCCTAAAAATTACAAGCCTACAATAAAAAAAATGACATATTTCCATGCAAAAAAAAAAATGTACCGCTTTCAGCACAGAAATATGGACATAATCATACTGCTAGGGAGGTTAAACATGTCCAATAAAAAAAATTAAAAAAATAAAATTTCGTAATAAATTTACACCAAAATGTATTCTGCTACATGTCTTCATTAAAAAAAATCCCAATACATGTAAATGAATTGGTTTATGTGAAAGTTATAGCATTTACAAATGGCAGCACATATACTGTAGTTTGGTTTTTTTTACTAGTACTGGGGGCAATCAGCAGGACTGCGGAGGTCATTCTGACACTGGGGGGAACTGACTTGGTGTCACTGACATCCCCAGTGACACCAATACATTGATCAGTGCTAATATGAAACATTGACACTGTACTAATGGCACTTGGCAGGAAGGGGTTAACATGTGGGGCGATCAACGGGTTAACTGTGTGCTGTGTGAGTGCTTTCCACTGCAAGCTCACTGCTTTGTATGGCTCTGCTACGCAGAGCCATACAAAGCAGTGTGCAGGATCTGACAGGGGAGAGATCTGTATTGTTTACATACAGGTCTCTCCCCCGTTGGTAATAGTCGGCGATCACTGGGTGCCGATGAGAAATCACAGGCTGGGACCCGATGATTGACAGCCGAGACCACGAATAGTGGAGTGGGTAGGGCACACGTGCACCCCCTACCCGAAACAGCAAAATCATGCATATATATTTGATTTTGCACACCTGTGGTGTCCTGTAGCAGTATTTCTGCTATAGGGTGGCACGGGACTGGTTAAGGCAAACTTCTGCACAAAAATCTGAAAACATAGTCAATATTAATTTATGTTTACAGAGCTTCCCCCATCCTCTGGAACTCTCTACCCCAATTTATCAGACTATCGCCTACTCTGCTCACTTTTAGGCACTCTGAAAACCTGTCTCTTCAGGGAAGCCTATCCTGCCCTCAGCTAACAATGGAATCTTCTATTCCTCCTACCAGTCTATCCCCCACAGTTATTACCTTTTGTACCACTAGCTCTTCCCTCTAAGATTGTAAGCTTCAAGGAGCAGGGCCCTCCTATCCCTCTTGTATTGAACTGTATTCTTGCTGTATTCTCTTCCATTATATTGTAAAGCGCTGAGCAAACTGTTGGTGCTATATAAATCCTCTATAATAATAATAATAATAATAATGTTTACAGTCACGCATGGCAATGTATTTGTAATTCTGTACAGGCAATCTTATAACTTGCACAGGCAGGTTTTGATTAAGAAATGTATCCTCCTGGTTCAGTAATTCAGAATCCTATGTAACCTTCTCCATCTTTAGCCTGCTTATTGGTCAGTTACTCAACATTATCACCTCCGCTTAGTGAACAGGGAGCTGACCAAGAAAATAGTACAGAAGAAACATCGGGTAGTAATGCTAACCCAGCAAGTAGCAGAGGGACGTTTCTGAATAAAAGAGGTGCACATAAGGGAAAGATGTACAATAAAACTCTTACCATTAGAGCCCAGTCTGACTATGCAATATTATGTGTTAAAAAACACTGGGGTTGGTTTACTAAAACTGGAGAGTGCAAAATCTGGCACAGCTGTGCATTGGAGCCAATCAGCTTCTAACTTCAGCTTGTTCAATTAACTTTTGACAAGAAAACCTGACTGCTGATTTCTATGCAGAGCTGCACCAGATTTGTAGGTTTTTTATCATGCAGTAAAATGTATGTATTACCCCACAATATAGCAATGGGATATAGTTCATGGGCCCTTAAAGTTTGTTCATTTCACTTATAAAAAAATTAAATAAAATCCATATTTTACAGGTGACAGATTATCAAATATGCATTTGTGGGCTTACAATTATTCTAAAGGTTCATTTTTTTTTTGTGTAAAATAACAAACATATCTATACTTACCTGCTGTGTGCAGTGGTTTTGCACAGAGCAGCCTGGATCCTCCTCTTTTTAGGTCCCCCACAGACTCTCCTAGCTCCTCCTGTCTGTCGGATGCCCCCACAGCAAGCAGCTTACTATGGGGGCACCCGCTGTTTCATGTGTCCATTCACACACGGAGCCATGGCTTGATCCTACCCCCCTCTCTCTCCTCATTGGCTAACTGATTGTGATTAACAGAAGAGGGAGCCCATGATTCCCTCCAATGAGGAGGCAGAGACCTGAGACACAGCTGAGGCTGTCATTCACATTGCTGGATCGCGATGTGGCTCAGGTAAGTATTTAGGGGCTGGAGGAGCTACTGCACACAGATTTTTTACCTTCATGCAAAAACCTTCATCCTTTACAACCACTTTATTAATGTGGGAATATTCGCATCTGGATGCTTATTCTTACTCTGAAGATTTTTTCATAGTAACACCAATGAAGGACAAGTTTGAAGAATTGCAATCAATGGCCTGCTGAGTGACCATCCCACTCATTGTATGAAAATTATCTGGAGAATAGATCTATCAAAGATCAAAATCAATATTTTTGCATATGTCCCTGGAAATTGATTATGACTGCTTTGCCATGGGCTGTCTCTTCATTTATAATACCTCAAGAAATGTGAAAACAATCAAGCTAAACCAATTTAGTTGAACAATTCTGCCAATTTATAAAGACTTACTCTGTAAAAATTTCACCAATACTTTTTGGCAGCTGAAATCTTTTATTTTTCAATGATAGGAAGCTGAAAACATAATGTACCTCAAAGTGGCCTACTTTTACTTAGCTACACTTTGCTGTTCTTTTGTTGTTTCTATGCTAATTGTCTTTTTATCATTTGTTTTGACACTGCCAGTTTGTTTTTCAAAGCACTGTTTAGGCATAGAATAAACAGATGCAATTTTCAAAGAGAAACATGGCAGATCATGTCAAAAAGAATATCAATTATTTCTCTGATCTTTATAGATAGGCCCCTTAACATTCATAACTCGTTCATATAAATCAAGCAAAATGCCCTATAACGCTAAATATATGCATTATACATGAAAGCAATGACCCAATTCTAGGGTCACAGTTGTTTACAGCTACAGTGATTCAACAGAAAGTGACCTCCCAGCAGGTAATAACAAATGGTATTTTTAAGGTTAACTGCACTGCTGGCATTATGGAAGTACACATTAGCTCATTTAGCCCTTGCTTCTCTTATCCTGCTGTGTCATGCAATTAAACTAAGGCTAGTGGCCTGCTTCTTTTTAGACCATGACTTGCTGCTGTCACTGAGTAATAAGGATACATGCAGCCAAACAGCATGGTATAGTTGGTGTTTTTGTTTAGGGCAAATGGAATACCATGAAGTGGTCTTGCCAGCCTGATGAACATACGCTGTCCAAGGGAAAGAGAGAACTTAATTGATTTTTGTGCTACTATCAACCAGATGGGTGTATGGTTAGCCAATAATGACCAGAATGCAGATCCAGTTTTAATTTCTACAAAATTATATTATTAAAGTTCTAATAGCAGTTAAGCATTAATAGTTTATAATCACATTTTTTTAAAAATAAAATTATTTTAGCAATTTATTTGATTACATAGTGCAAGCTTTTTAATTAGCTTTAATACTAAGAGATCACAAAGTTTAGATTAAAAAAAGCTTCATTTTTTATTGTACTGAAAAAAAAGTAATATTCTATTGCGTTTTAAAAGTACACTTATCTGAGATTATGAATGTCACTGTTTCTTTTGGTCAGTTTCACGGAGATATTATCCTCATATTTCTAGGATATAATAACAGCAGATGGAAAAAGGTGAAGGGTCATTGTGCTTTGTCTTTAAAATTAAGATGGCTGTCTTCATTCTTATAGCACACTCTTAATTCTGGAGACACATCTTAATAACTTCTAAATAGTTCCAACAAAAGAGCCATGTCAGAAGAATGAGCAGGCCCCAAGGTGTTTCAACTGGAGTGTTTTCATCTGCCTTTATTGCTCTATCCCTCTCCAGAATTAAGGCAATAACCTGTGATAAATTATTCAGGAATTGCTACAGGGATCAAAGTAAAATCATTCTGTTAAAGTGCTGTTTGCAACATTTGGCATTGGCACTTAGTGAAAAAAAAACTTTTAATGTGTGGATGCTGAAAATCCTGAATTTTAAATAATTCAGCATGATGGAGTTTTTATGAACTGACTAAAGGTAGCAAGTGGTGACTTAACCATTAAGTACTTGAAATCTCCTTATTATGAGCTATATTGGGATTCATATAACAGGAGGTGATGATGAACACTTATGCAGTGTATTATTAGTAAAATATAGGTTAAACGCAGTGTTTGGTTTGCTCAAAGTGTTATGCAATGAATGCCTTATAATATTATTTTATTTCCCTTGAGCTAGAATGAACTGCATGACATTATTTACCAGTAATTCTGATGTACCTTATGTATAATGTATTTAAAGTGAAAACAATGTAGTGTTGGGTACATTTCAGAGAATTAATCCGCTTGGTCTAAATGTAGCTTAATCTGAAAATATCGAGCTCATCAGTCAGTCTGCACTGTATAAATGTATGCAATTT